AGAGTAATGACATAGCCATTACGCCAACTGCTAGTCCCAATATAAAACTATTTTAAAATTATGTTTCTCTAAAGAGACAAGTCATATGAATGGATAATTAAAATGACACCCAAAGAAGCCAGCAGCCACTGGACATTAGTGCTTGGGTCTTGTAGAACTCATCTGTTCCACTGGATGAGAGTCTGGGCTTTTTTTCAGAGGAAGAAAAGGAGCTTGCAGATTTCCAAGTTTTGAATACACTCAATTTTCTAAGAAAATCAGAGATTAGGGTTTCACATGATATGAAATTCTTGTATTTTAGTAGAGACTCAGTATGCAACAGAATTAGTGATCGTTTCCCCTTATCTGCCAAACAAGGAGATGTGGAAAGCTTTACAGACATTTGTTCCTTAGTTATCTTTGTGGTGGAATGGAGTTTCATGACAGGCGTAGAGGATAGAAAAACAAACCAAACTGAAATTTAAGATTCTGCACTCAGATACTTCAGCGCAAGCTGCCAAAAATATATAAATTTCGGGCCAGTCAGTGGTGTGGTAGTTAATAGGCAGCTAGATTCCATATGGATGACTGTGCAGTTCAAGCCCTGGACCCAGAGGCTTGAAAAACATATTGGGCATGTGTGTGTGCATTCCCAAGGTCCTGAAAAGAGGGAGAAATGGAAGAGAACAGACTGTGGGTGACTGTCCTCCACAGCAGGTGCTTTGGTAATCCACCCATGCCAGCACACTTGTCCTCTAGCAAATTAAAGAAAAACAAAGAAAATACGGAAACATGTATTCTACAGTCTGTAGAAGTAGATAAATCTATTTCACAAATAATAATAATTAAAATATGATGCTACCTAAAGCAGTATCTGTTTTTATTTTTATTATTATTATTTTTTTTTACAGAGAAAGATTTTTGCTGTAGGGTGTGTGTGCTTGCAGGAGAGACAGAGAGAAAGAGAGAAATCACCCCTCCCAGGGGGAATGGTCATGCTGCAATCCCTTCTCTTCCATTCTCTCAGGATCTCGGGAACACATGTACACCCACCAGCATGAGTTTTAAGCTGCTGGGTCTGGGACTTGAACCATGCTTGACTATGTGGAAGTCCACTGATTTAACCATTATGCCATCTGCTGGTCCCACTACAGCAGTATCTTATACTTCAGAATATTCTGTGATTTGAAATGAATTTGACATTTTCCTTATTAATGATAATTAAAATATTCAATGAGGGATGAGGGATTTCTAAATAAACTCATATAATAGACCATTTTATCTGACTTTTAATATCTAAAATTATTTTCATTAAGTGAATAGAAATATAATATCTACAGGGATAAATGTATAGACTATGAGTAAAAATAATCCAAGGTCAACAATTCAGAAGAGAGAATCGGTTTTTATTACTCTGTAATAAAGCACCTTTATGGTATTCTTCTATCTAAAAATAAAACTTTTTAATATCTGAAGTCATAGAATGCCTCTTACACTTCAGGAAAAACAGTATTGCTCAACAGCTACAAGAAAAAGTCTAAAAAATTAAACTTTTATTTTGAAGAATTTAGCATAAAAATTGGATCTTGGCCGATTTACGAAAGAATCCATTGTCTCATCTGCTTACTGGGTACCTGACTCTCTGAACCTGTGGAAGGTAGCTAAACACCGCATCTTAGAAACTGAGACAATGAATGAAAAGTAACGAACTGGCAATGTGGCTTCAAAAACAATCAAGGTTATACTTTCATGTCAATACCTACATCAATAATGATTACAGTACTAGAAGCCTAGAGTGTCCAGTATCAAGAATCAAGCCTAAAAAGAAATTTCTTTGAAAGGAAAGATATTAAAAGGGCTATGAAATTTTTTTGTTTAGTACTGAAATGGATTCATGCTCAGCTGTGCATAATCTCTACCTGGATTCATGAGAAAACAACTTGACATTCTTATAATTTTCTTATTTTTAAGAATTACTTAATTTTATTTATTTATTTATTATTTTATGTTTTTAAATTTGCACATGCACTCACTTGAGAGAGAGAGAGAAAGATGGGAAGAGTGAGAAAGCAAGCTGCCAGGGTTGAGATTTGAACTGTAGTCAGCCATGTGGGAGTCAACCACCAGGCCACCTGTGGTTCCATTTTTATAATTTTCTATTCAATTATTTTTTGTGAGACAATACCTTCAATATACTACATTAGGTTGTTTTGTTGATTACAGTCCAAAGTGTTATTTTATTTGTCCTTTAATGCCATCAGAGGGCAAAGGGTTAAGAAGAGTCTCTAGAAGCCTGGTGAAGAGGAGGGTATTAAAGATGGAGATAAGAATACTAGGGAAGCTGAACTGAACTTTTGGCCATTCTCAAGAACAAAATGTCAAGATGTCTTTCTAGATTCTACCTTCAGTTGAAAGTACTCAATCCTTCATGTGAGACTGGGGGAGGAGGCAGAGGGAAAAAGATTTTGAAGGTCATGTTTCTGACAACATAGCTGGTTTAACGTGGCTTTTACAGTAACATGAAACTAGCCAATAAACAAATTTCACAGATGAAATCAGACAATGACTTGTAATGTTTACCTATACAATGAGCAAAAATGAAAAGGAGGGACATGGTTCAGTAAGGGTAAGGAGATATCAGGAATATAAATTGTTCGGCAGTTCCTATAAGGCAATGGTCAAGTGCTGCCCAGAAGAAGACTGTTCCCAAGTTTGGATCCCTGTCACAGTGCTTTGAAAAATACACTGAGTATCATGCATTCCCAGGATCCTCAAGGGATGGAGAATTGGAGGAAAATGGAATGTGGCAAGATCTGGTCAACTGAGAAGGTGCTGGTTGTCTCTCTTCTCTCTCTTTCTCATGTACGCGTATAGTGTTTGCCATTAGAAAGACAGTAAGCTTTTTAGCATACAGCTTAGAAAGATCTAACACTTTGTAAAAATACAGCTAATAAAGATCTAACACTTTGTAAAATATACATACAATTTAATCCAACAGTATTTCAGGGAAGTGGCTCTACAGACATGCTTAATGAAGTGCACAAAAAGCTCTTGCCACGGTTTTATGCTGCAGCCTCATTGATGATTAAAAAAATGGATGTAACTAAATTATGTATCAACAGGACATTGCTAAACTAAATTGTGTATATCCATATAACCTAAAACTGTTAAAAGAAGATATATAAAGGCATTGGCATAACGCATACATATAAGATGTTTAATGGGCAAAACACACAATGCAGACTCCTGTGTACACTGCAATCCTACTATATGGGGATAAATAGATATCAAATTCTAATAGTTATTATCCTGAGAGTGGGAGATTTCAGAGGAGTCAAGCTTCACACCAACACTTTCTATTTTACTTAACTTTTACCTTTAATGTTTTATATTTTTATGTTTATATTTTGTGAAACATAAAACAAAGGTATCTTAAAATTTAAGACTTAATACTTACATTCCCAATATCTGCAAATAAACACTGGCAAAATAAAATAAAACAAAACAAAAGCATTCTGTGGTTTTAGGGAAAAAAATCATTATGAAGAGTACTAAGAGTAAACAGTTTTGAGTTCTGTGTTTTAGTTACAAGGGGCTAGAAATCTGTGATGTGAGAAGATTCTGGAATATCTGACTAACATTCACAAGAGAGTCAATAGTGTCACTGAAACCATTCATAACTGAGTGCAAATCATTACATTTAGTTCTCATTTGAAATGGGTCCAACTCATTATATTGTACATTGGTTAATATTCAGAAATGTGTATGTAGCGAACTGTAGCACATCTGCTTTTTAGTATGATTTTCAATCTCTGTAGCACATTTATTTACCCAGAATTTGAAGTTTTAGATCTATGTTTTACAACTAGGTTAAAAACAGAAACAGAATTGGAAGAACCTACCTATTTACTGCACTATAAGAATCTGTAATGTATTACCAACCCAGGATCTGTCTGGACTTCGGGAAATTTCAGTGTTACAACAAACCATTTTGTTCTGAAATGTTATTTCTGCCAGAAAGCCTTGGGAGCGACTAAATGACTGTTGACCATCCATCTCTGTATCATGACTTTTATGACAAAGCACATGTCTTTAATATTCTGGATTTAGCACACAAATTTAAATTCGGCCCTTGAGCATTTTTGCTTATTAAAAAATAATAAAAAGTGCATGTTAAAAGTCCTATGTGTTGGGCAAATGAAGATATTCTATGAGAGCACATAAAATAGCTTTATCTACAGCTAATCTTAATAAGTACAAAAATGATTTTTCTCTTGGTTAAAGAATAGTTATAATGTGCCCCAAAAGTAATAGCTCTTGCTATGCAGACTTTTCTCTTCTGGTAAAAAACAAAAGTGCAATAGACCTGCTATCAAAACATAATGAAAGTGATCATATCAGTTGCTGGGTACTTCCTAGCAGAATTTGCTACTCCTATTCAAAGAAATATTTCAGCAATTTCAGAGAATGACTTACCCTCCCTTAATATAGTCAAGGAATGAAACTTCTGTTTCTACTAAGAAAGAGAGTAAGGTTACCTGAAAAAAAACAAAAAAAAACCAGAATTATCTGCTAGTATTAATTATAACCCCAAATGAACTTTTCCTAACTATTAAAGAGAAAATTGTAGTTCCTAGCAGTCTGAAAATCATTAAAGACATTATTCTTTATTAAAATATATTAGTACTGATTGTTCTTACATTTAAAATTAGGGACACACACTCAAAATGAACTAACTCCTTCCTATGACCAGTTTACTTCCTTTGAAGAACAGCGTGAAAATTACTACAAGGACGTGGTGTTTCTTCCCATTGTAGATAAAAGAGAAGATGAAAGGAAGTTGGAAAATAGTTAAAACTGAAAACTAAACTCAATAAGCTCAGATATATAAGAAGAAATGTTGCAATAGACCTGCTATCAAAACATAATGAAAGTGATCATATCAGTTGCTGGGTACTTCCTAGCAGAATTTGCTACTCCTATTCAAAGAAATATTTCAGCAATTTCAGAGAATGACTTACCCTCCCTTAATATAGTCAAGGAATGAAACTTCTGTTTCTACTAAGAAAGAGAGTAAGGTTACCTGAAAAAAAACAAAAAAAAACCAGAATTATCTGCTAGTATTAATTATAACCCCAAATGAACTTTTCCTAACTATTAAAGAGAAAATTGTAGTTCCTAGCAGTCTGAAAATCATTAAAGACATTATTCTTTATTAAAATATATTAGTACTGATTGTTCTTACATTTAAAATTAGGGACACACACTCAAAATGAACTAACTCCTTCCTATGACCAGTTTACTTCCTTTGAAGAACAGCGTGAAAATTACTACAAGGACGTGGTGTTTCTTCCCATTGTAGATAAAAGAGAAGATGAAAGGAAGTTGGAAAATAGTTAAAACTGAAAACTAAACTCAATAAGCTCAGATATATAAGAAGAAATGTGTGTGTCATGGTTCTGTAACCAGGGTGTCTAATATTTTTAGTGTCTTGTTTTATAGAAACCTTTAAAACAAAACTTGGAGAAGGTTTAGATTTTGCCATTCCCAAAGAAAGTTTATTTTTTATTTTTTCTCCAGATAGGATATAGTTTTTCATGATGTTCAGACGCATTCCTCTCCACACCCTCCTGAACTGATTTCATACACTGTTTCCGTAGAGTTGTACATTTAATACATTATAAACAAGAACTTTCACACCCCATAAAATGAGTTGTAATAGGAAAATGTACCCTATCAGGAGTATAATATTTCTTACTGCCTCCTAAACTTTTTCAGATCTGTCTAGTTCTTTGTACTTTGATTCCACAGAATGAAGAATTCCTAACAAGACGTCAGCTTTCCGTGGTCAATAGTCCCAAGGACAGCTTGTAGGAAGCAGAGTCACCGGACTCTCATTGGACATTCTCCATTTCGATTGTTCTCCCAGGAAGTTAATGTTTTCTATTAAATTCCTTCAATTAAAATCTTAAGTGAAACAATGGTCAGTTTTCTAATTGTTCTAGCCTAATTTATAATAATACAATTTATAATGACATAATACTTATGACCAACATAAAAACTGACTTACTGTTCCAGAATTAACATATTTTTTCTTTTTTCCTTTCTTTTTGGGATTCACCACCTTAAAACAGATAAAAATGTAAATCAATTAGGTTTTACACTGAAAACAATTTTAAATGTCTAGTTCCACCAGCTGCCTTCATTGCTCATGCATGTGTCCACTTACATATACCTTCAGTATGACTCCTGGGCAGTTATTTGACCCAACTTCCCTGTAAAAGTTAATAGTGATCACCTTTGAAAAAACTCTTTTGTCAGTAATATGCTTCTTGATCACTTTATGCATTGATTATCCTTAATCTTCTGTAATTTCTTAATAAGACAGAGACCCTTAATATCCAATGTCTAAATAATGACTGATTTCTACATAAATTATAGGCTGCTAATGAAAAATATATTTAAGTGTCAGAAGTTTTTACAATTATATTAAATACATTAACTTAGCAAATCACCTAATATGTGAAAATTTAAGGATTAATTGACCTTTTACAACGATAGTAATTTCCACCAGGTATCCATGCTGCATAATAATTGGTGAAGGTCTGGCTCATGGCCCTAAGACAGGACTTTCAACTATTTGTTCTATGAGGAAATATTATTGCAACTTTCATGTCATACAAGACACTGAGGGGTATAGGGAATGTAAAAATGAGCAAGACCTGTCAATCTAATAGAATAAGTAAAATACCCAAGTCCCCTAAAAGACCCTTCGAATCATTTCAATCTAAAATACAGACAAAGTATTTGACAGAGAAAGATGAAATAATTTATGAATAAGTATTATTTGAACTAGAATTTCTGAATTTAAACTAGGGTTACAATTTTTAAAAGACAAATATAAATTCAAGAAAAGGGAACAAGTAATTGCCAGGCTGGTTGGTGCAGCAAGCACACACAGAGATTAAGAGTGAATGGGAAAAGGAAAGCTGAGGTCACCTTAAGCAGATATTTAACACTAGCCTACGGAGCTTGGGCATTATTCAATTGTTTTTTTTTTTAATAGAATGACATAATCTGTCTAGGAGAGAGTTTTATGGGGAGAAACTGGAGGCAACAGTTTAAATCAATGAGAGAATAAAGCATTATATAAGGCAAGTACCATTGAAAATGGCTCACAAGAAAAGTTGAGAAAATAAAATGAACTGAATCTGGCAGGTATAGGTTGTCAATCTAATAGAATAAGTAAAATACCCAAGTCCCCTAAAAGACCCTTCGAATCATTTCAATCTAAAATACAGACAAAGTATTTGACAGAGAAAGATGAAATAATTTATGAATAAGTATTATTTGAACTAGAATTTCTGAATTTAAACTAGGGTTACAATTTTTAAAAGACAAATATAAATTCAAGAAAAGGGAACAAGTAATTGCCAGGCTGGTTGGTGCAGCAAGCACACACAGAGATTAAGAGTGAATGGGAAAAGGAAAGCTGAGGTCACCTTAAGCAGATATTTAACACTAGCCTACGGAGCTTGGGCATTATTCAATTGTTTTTTTTTAATAGAATGACATAATCTGTCTACAGGAGAGAGTTTTATGGGGAGAAACTGGAGGCAACAGTTTAAATCAATGAGAGAATAAAGCATTATATAAGGCAAGTACCATTGAAAATGGCTCACAAGAAAAGTTGAGAAAATAAAATGAACTGAATCTGGCAGGTATAGGTTGAAAACATAAAGGAGAAATCTATTTTTCTATTTGTTCATTCAATGTATTAAATTTATTATTTATTTCAGAAAACTCTGACTGAGCACATTCTATAGGGAAATAAGTAATGGCAGGATACTGAGAACCTAGTTCTATGGCCAGACCATTAAATATGGAGACATTTGTTTGAGGAAGAAGGTTGAGAAAAGAATTCCTCAATTCCTTACATTTATTTGAGGAACACAGTATTAAACAATATAAAGGAAATAAAGGAATACAATGAATTCAATGAACATTTTTATTAGAAATGTTTTATTTCATCATTTGCTATCTAAAATCACCCATCTAGCATTAGGTCTTTTTTTTAGAAAAGAAAGTTTTGTTCTGAATTTTAGGAATAAATTTTCAGTGGAATTTCAAGCGTATTTTTAAGTTCATATTATTCTTTCTGGCTTCTAGCACATCATAATTTACTGTTGTCACATATAATTTATACTTGATTATGTGAATTTATGATTACATAAAAGATGTGTTATTAAATCACATAGAACAGTTTCAACCACCAATAAAACATGTGATATAAGAGTAATAATAATAATGAAATTACATACAATAGCATTTAGAATTTACAGAAGCATTTAGAATAAATGAGTACAGATTTCTGAATATGTGGTCCTCCATAAAGGCAGGGAAGATATTTGAAAAAAAAAAGAAAAAAATATCAAATTTCTTCATGAATCTGGAAGTTAATCAAAGGCTTACAACAATCTTGAAGATCATATATTCAAGAAAAGCAGTGACTTTCACTGTGATATTTTAATTTGCCCTATACTAATCCTATTTTCCCCAGCTCTATAGTAGCACTAAAAGTGAGAAGCCTTGCAACCACAGTAGCTGTGAAGACCAGCAGTCTAAAAGCTGCTGCAGCTCAAATATTAACAGTGTTGAAATATCCATCAGTTTACCTCATATCTGGTGATTAAATGACAGAGTGTTTAAGATAGAAATACTAATATGTTGGCTATAATAACTTGGATTTCTTGGGAACCAGCAGATGGCATAATGGTTACATGCTGGTCTCCCACATAGTCTACCGTGGTTTGAGTCCTAGACCAGGTGGCTTTTAACTCACACTGGATGCATGTGTGTGCGTGTCCAAAAATACCAAGAGGAGAATGGAGGAGAAGGGATTGTGATGTGGCCATTCCCCTCCCCCTGGGGGGTGCCTTCCCGCTTTCTGTCTCTCTCTGTCTCCCTGGCAAGCGCACATGCCCTATAGCAAAAATCTCTCTAAAAAATAGAAATAAATAAAAATGACTTGGATTTCTTTAATATCTGCAGAACGCTTGTCAGTCCCTTCCATTTCCATCTGCATAAGAGTGACAGTTCTCAGATATACTATGCAAACCACAGCATATTTTATACATATTCACACAACTGAAATGCCTATTTCCTTTTTTGTAGGAGGCAGTTGGGAAAAGACTGGTAGGAAGACAAAACATAAAAGCTGAATACTATGGAAATATAACTGTATATACATACTGAATTTTTTAAAAAAATAAAAAAGTGTCATTGGTAAGAATTTTAAGTCTCTTGAAACAAATTTAAAAGGCCATGTGACTTGAAGAGGTAATAATATCATTTAGCCTAAAAAGCAAATTGTTAAATAAATTTAGAGAATATTATATATATATATGTGTGTGTGTGTGTGTGTGTGTGTGTGTGTATTTAGTTAACCTTTGGCAATTATCCTTTGAAAGTCTATACTTCTTTTTTCTTTTTTGGGGGAGAGTTTTTTTTTTTTTTTTTTTTTTTTTCTATAGGGGCAGTACACCCCCCAGAAAAAAAAGAGAGAGACAGAGACAGAGAAAGTGAGAAATCACCCCCAGGGAGGATAGCCATGCCACAATTGCATCTCTTCCATTCTCTCCTTGGGACCTTGGGCACACATGCACATGCTCCTGGCGTGAGTTTAAGCCACTGAGTCCAGGACTTGAACCATGGTCAACTACATGGGAGTCCAGTGACATAGCCATTATGCCAACTGCTGGTCCCGCAAGTCTATACTTTTAAAGCATAAATTTACTTGTTCCATAAGAAAATGATGGTGAAATAAAATGTGTCTTACCTCATATACATTGAACTGTGATTGCCCTCTAGAAAGTTCCCTATAGCTTGTTGTAAATTCTCCAATGAAATCATGACTAAAATGAAAGGAAACAAGTACATAATATTAATATACATACATTTGTCTTTTATATTTAAAATTTTTAGAATAGTATAGCTTAATCATTATGGAAACAAATTTTGATATTATGAACATAAATTAATAACATATTTTAAGATAGTTATACACATTTGCAATGTTCTATAATCTAGAATTTGCACAATCAACAATTTTATGTTTTATTAATACTCAAATATCCCACCAATATTAATATTTCAAAAAGGTATATTTGTTTTAATACCCATATTTCAAAAAAATTATATCACCTTTATTTTCTAAATTATTATTTAGATGAAAGTTGGAAAA